ATCAAGACCAGTAGCTTCTTGTAAGACAGGTGAATCCCCAAGTTTCTTATCTGACCTTCTCATCCAAACTGCAGCATAACTGCCTATTCTCTATTTCTACCTAGGCTCTCATAGACCATTTCATGCCCAACTGATGTGTTATTTTCTTATTTCTCTTCATGCGTAATAATTTATGATAAAATATGTTGCACTATTAATTTTTACATTATTAAATACATTGTTATCTTCTGTTGAAAATTATGTAAGGTTTTCAGGCATCCAGTAATTAGAAAGAATTTCAGTATTCTCACAGTGGGGCTTGCTAAGCCAGATATATCATATTCTGTGCATTTCAAAATTAACTTTATTAAAACAAGTAACAAAGCCTCTTTCACAAACTAGAAGCTTAAATATGCTGCTTGAATGCCTAATTTTTGAAAATATTGAAGTGATATCCATTTTGTCAAATGTTGTATCAATTGAAATCATCAAAGAATTTCCACCCCTCCTTCTGTTAATGTGATGTATCACATTTATTTTGCAAATGGGGCATCATTATTACACCCCTAAGATGAAGTCTAGGTGACCGCAGCAATCATTTTCTTGTTCTTGCACATGGGGTTTGTTGACATTTTGTTGAGGATGTTGTATCTGTGTTCCTTTGGGATAGTACCTTCATGTTTTCTTTGGAATGTGTATATTCTTGTTTGATTTGGGGGTCAGGATAACAATGGCCTCCTAGAATGAGTCTGGAAGGGATCTTTCCTCTTTAATTACTTGGCTAGTTGGAAAAGAATTGGCTTTATTGCTTTAAAAAGAGTAAAGTGCAGCTGTGAAAGCTGTGAAGCTACCAGGACGTGGGGTTTTCTTTTACCAAAGACTGCTTAAGTTAGTCTTTCATTTTCATCACTCATTCTTCTCTTGCTATTTTCTAGGAATTTCCAATTCGATCCTGATAAGTTTGTATATCTCTGGGGATTAATCCATTTTTTCTAGGTTACCAATCTGTTGATATGTAATAGTTCATAACCGTTTTATGATGCTTTGTATATCTGTGGTATCAGTTGTCATGTCTGCTTTTTTATTACTGATTTTATTTACATGAGTCTTTGCTTTTCTTGGATAATATAGGTAAGGGTTTGTTGATTTTGTTCATCCATTCACAAAGCAATTTTGTTTTATTGAATCTTTTATTGAATCTTTATTGTATATTACTTTTGTCTCTACTTCAATTATCTGTGCTCTAACCTCTATTGTTTTCTTCTATCTACTAATTTTGAATTTAGCTTTTTATTGTTTTTTTACTTCCTTGAGGTATAATTTTAGCTTTTTTATTTGTGAGATACCTTCATTTCTGAGGTAGGTCCTTCTTGTTATGAATTTCCCTTTTAGAAGTAAATGCTTTTGTTGTATCCTTGTAAGTTTTGATATGTTATTTCCGTTTGATTTGTTTCACTCAACTTTTACATAATCTTGTCATTTTTTCCACTGGCCCGGTGATTGTTGAGGACCATGTCGCTTTATTTCCATGTGGTTGTAAGTTTTCTGAATTTTCTTCTGCTATTGATTTACAGTTTTACACTACTGTGGTCAGAATTACTTCAAATTACTGTGATCATTTAAAAAATGTTAAGACTTATAGTGGCCTAATGCATGAGCCATCTTGGAGGATGATCCAGGTCCTACTGAGAAGGGGAGGAGGTCGTGGTAAGTCCACAGCTGACATAATAGATAGCCAATGATTTTTCTCTAAGATTTGCAATAACAGAAAGATGCCTATGTTTTAACCATCGTGACAGTGTATTTTTGAACTGATTTCCTGTCAGAGTGTAGTAGACACACACAGCAGGGGACAATCTAAGGGCAAGGAGGGCACTTTGGAGACTGACATCTCAAGAAAGAAATGGTGCCACATTCAACATCATAAATCTATGAACACATAATTTTAAAATGTTTATTTCTGCATGAGGGTTAGGGATGCAAAATATGAACAAAACACACAGAAGTAATGATTTAAAGTGCATGAATTTGTTTTGGAAAGCAGACACCTAACCTTACACAACTGCACACAATTTCACACTCATAATTCATGCTATACTTAACCTCAGCCGTATTTTAGAGCAAATGCATCTAATATAGTCTAACAGATGATGACCTTCTATGAATGGACAGAAACAAGTCACTGGAGCTGCTGGAAAGATTTTACTCCCCTCCACTTGATTCTGCCATTTTCCAACTGAGTGCCTCTGAGAGCATATACTCCCTAGATCTCATTGACATCAGAAGATTAACTGCTAAACGCTCCATACATGTGGAGGAAAATTAAGTATAAATACATGAAGAATGATATAGAATATTAGGCATACTTGTTATCCATGTCCATAAAGATGCTCCTGTATAACAGTAGAGGGCTCACTTAATTCCGCTCTCTGCATGTGGGTGAGCTAGAACCACTCCACATGTCAGGGCAGCTGCTTGGTAAGGTGTGAAGCAAGATAATTCTAGCTCATCACAGTCTTTCTTGCTTAGGGAATTTGGACACTTTTTGGGAGCTGTGGCCCTCCCATGAGACGGAGCTAGAAAGAGAGGAAAGGCTGAAATCTCTGAAGGTTAAGTAAATGGAACTCTGCTTGTCTAACTTGTTAGCTAACTTTGCTCACAGGTGTTGCAGGGATGTTCTTTCCCTTGCCTAGAGATGGGTGTCCCAAGGTTGCCAGCATCAGTGTCCAAATGGAAGTGAATATTTGTATTTTCTGCAAATGTTGCCACTTGATTTGAAACTATCAAAGTTGACATTTTTATTTTTAAACACGGGAAGGCCTCAGAGTAAAAGTTGAAGGAGTGTTAAGCAATGCTCTGTTGATCTCAGACATGTGAAACTTTTCTTCCGTGAAAACCACGTCAGCTTCCAATGCCATGAGGCTACTGTGCAGGGCTCCCATGGCTGTGTTACCTACAGGGTCCACCTTCCATCCTTTAGTCTGAGATGTGAGGAACGATGGAGGCTGGGAGAAAGCCAGTGCTGAGGAGTATATCCTCTCACCTCTGGCATTGCAGAATTCCCTGTGATCTCAGAGCAGTCAGTGGCCCCAATACCAATGAATTTCATCTAAGAGCCCAGGCTGCAAAGATAGTTTTCCATCAACTTTTGGGGGCATATGGTGTCAGAGTACCTGTGAAACAATAATCACCAATAAATAAACTGAAAATATCCATCAAAATTAAAATTCAGTGAAAGTAAAGGGAAGAACTGGGAAGTTATTAAAAAAAAAAAAAGGGGTGGGTAAGAGGGTCCACTGCAGTGGGCTTAACTGGCAAATTCTCTGTTGTGCCAGCATTCCATATAGGAATGCTACCACTCATGTCCCAGCTACTTCATTACAATCCAGGTCCCTGCTTGTGGCCTAGAGAGGCAGAGGAGTATGGCTCATGTCCTTTAGCCCCTGCACCAATGTGGGAGACATGGAAATAGCTCCTGGCTCTGGCTTTGGATCAGCTCATCTCTGGTCATTGTAGCTATTTGGAGAGTGAAGCAGCAGAAGGGAAGGGAAGGAGAGCGGAGGGGAGGGGAGGGGAGGGCAGGGGAGGGCAGGGGAGGGGAGGGATTTGGAAAGTAGCAGGAAGGGGAAATTTAAGTCTCAAGCATTAGGAGAAAAGAGTCAGAATGTAGAACTGTGTATGAATCCATGCAAATCTCAAGGTGAAATTCACAACACAGGATTGGAATTTCCACTTGAACTGTTCCTGCATTTAATGAAACAGAAAAAAAATCATAACCAATACTTGATAAGGCAGTGCTAACTGTTATAATCCTGGCTTCATATAGTAGGTGTGTATTTTTTCTCCTTAAAAACACAGAACTGGTATTCACGAGTGCTGGATGCCTCTCTCTCAGTAGGAACCAGATCCTTCCATGTTGGATTTCTACCTTTGCCAAAGGGGTAATTCAACCGGGAATTCTTACCTTCCGTCCCCCGTCTGTCTAATTCCTTCCCAGTACCATTTGTCTCCCTTACCAACTCTCTCACACTCACATGAGTTTTCATGTTTTCTTCTGTACCTGGATTCTCAGTTAGGGGATTTATACATTATTTGAATGGTTTTGACTTAACAATGTGGTATTTCAGTGATTGAAACCAATACGTGAACATGATTGGGATATGGAATTATAGTTTCTCAAGAGTGTGGTATCTCACAACATCTTCTAAAACTTGACTGAACATTCTGCAAAAACTAAAAACAAAACCCTTCAGTTACTTTTGAAGGTAAATTTTAACTTACTTCCTTATCACAATTTTATCCAGAGAAGGGTTGACAGATCCTAACTCTATGTTCTCAGAATACTCCCAATTTCTCTGAATCTTTGGATGGTTCTTCCTTATACATTATCCTTGAGGTATTTTAGTTGAATGGATTATCTGGAAAACAAGCAAGTGATTTTATTGAAGGAAAGCTCCTGTTACAATGGTTTTGAGGGTCAGGCATTATCTGCTAAGCTGCATCTGTGGCCAACAATGCTGTTATGAAATCAGGGAGAGCTGTTGAGCTGTATCTATGCTCTAAACGCTGCACGCATTGATCAGCCAAGCCAAGCACAGACCAGAACCTTCAGTGCCACAAGGTTATTGTGGTTCTGAGAATTACATAATCCCACTGGAAAAGCACTTTCTGTATCTACCCCTTTCTCATCTTCCCACAAGGGCCGTGGGAAACTTGACCTACTCGATCAATCTGGGTTTATCTAGGATTAAAATTAGAAACAGATGCTTGGAACCCTGTCCCTTCTTATCCCACTGTCCCAAAGCAATACTGTAAAAGATAAGGTTTGCCTATAAAACAGGACTCACACTCTATGTTTGTGCGCAGAACCTGCCGAAATCGCCACGGTGAGTCAGGAGCATGCTGTCCAGGCCTAACTTGTCAAATGTGCCTTTCCTTCGCAGATGTGTAAATGAATCTGAATTTTCAGTGCTCTGAAACCATTTGTAGCCAGACTCAAGCATGCTTTTTACTTTTTGTAGATGATCCTGCTCTGGACAATCTCACTGTTGCTGGGGACAGTAGCAGGTAAGAAAAGAAATCATATGGAGTTGGGAAAACTCACGGCTCCACCCTTGCCGGGACCTGTGAAGACTGACTGCATTCTACTGTGAGTTAGGAGTTAGGGGGAAAGGCACAAGAGTAAGAACACATGTGGTTGAATGCAGTTGCTGGATAAAAGGTAAGAGAGTCAGTTGCACTTGAATACTATAGGCAACAGTAAGTAGTTGGTAAGTTGATTCTAGAAGCAATACTGGATATATTTTCTGAAATTTAAACTTAAGTTCTCATTTATTAGATCTGTCAACCAGAGCTTAGAGTGATGCTGGGGTTTGTACCTTGGGTGTAGGTGCTGATGGCTGAATTGTCCTCCCAAGCAAAATCCATGACTCCCTGTGCCCCGGTGATTCTGCCTGTGAGATGAGGATAATGATGTTACTGACCACAGGGAAAGTTCTAAGAAAATCATCCATCCTGGTCATGGCATGGAGCAGGATTTTGAGAGACGCAGCCTTTGCCTCAGCTAAGCTCACTCTGATCATTGACTAGATTCTGTCTTCCTTGAGATACAGTCTCTTTAGTCCTTGCTTTGTGGGGTGGAATAGCGTTGAAAGCTCAGCTTTGTGTCAGTCACAGATTTCACATTGCATGGGTTGGGAGTTAGTTGTTCATTACGGAGTCCACCATGGCCTTGAAACATGTCAGCTATCTAAATACTCAAGCTGGGTGGAGACTGAAAGGTTGGACACTTGCAGCAAACCTGAGCTCCCTGCCCAAAGCCCAGAGGCACATGGATACTGCAAGGAGTTGAGAACATTAACCTCTCCCACCAAAGGCCAGGAACCTCAGGCTATGCGTTCATGGGCACTAATGTCCGGCTCACTGAAGACATACAAGTTGAAATTTCAGACATGGGAGAACCAGGTGATTCTAGATCACAGACTTGGGGAGCGTCAGGCTTCTGAAGCTGCTCTGTGAGTGGAGACCAGAGGGGATTTGGGCAAGCCAGAGGAAGAAAATCTGCCACCAAATGTAACTGAACTCCTGTTTGACTGAGAGACCATCACAAGGTGCATTGTGGTCCAACTCATCTCTTTAACCACTTCTTTGTAAACACAGGAACTGAAGTCTGCTACGACAAAATCGGCTGCTTTACTGATGACGCACCATGGTCAGGAGTTAGTGGAAGACCTGGAAAATCACTGCCCAAAAGCCCACAAGTAGTCAACACCCGCTTCCTGCTGTACACGAACGAGAACCAAGGCAGCTATCAAGTAAGAGTGTTCACTGTTTGACAGTCCATCTGTTTAGCAGAGTGTGACCCTGAAAATTCCAGTGTTCTAAGGAGAAAAATCTGCAGTGAAATTTGGGTTGTTGAAGACGTTTAGGGCAATAGGAATAAAGAATATTTTATAGATTTCTTTTTAAAATTTATATGAAAATCTCCATATTGTTCTGTCCTACCTTCATGGTACCATTAAAAATATCCTAATCATTGAAGTACCTTTTGCCCCTATACTTCAATGAAAATAGAATTAAATATGCTCATATAAGTCAAAGAAAATTTGAGTAATGTTTTTTAGATTTCTAAATTCATTAGGATGACTGAATTTTAGAGAGGAGTGACACTGAGAGACGTTTTTACCCACTGGTTCACTTACAGAAATCTACAGCTTCAAGGTCTGCACCAGGCTAAAGCGGCTAGACAGAAGTTTCACTCAGGTCTCTTCCAAGGATCCATGGTCCCAAGGATTGGGTCACCCTCTCTGTTCATAAGCCATTAGCAGGGAACTGAACTGTATGTGGAACAAACAGCCAGGACATAAATCATCACCTGAAATAGATGCTGGTGTTGTTGGTGCTCCATCACCTGTTCTGCCTCAATGCTGTCAGTGCTTAGTTTTCAATTAACAGTTGTTTGTGAAGACTCAGTGTATGTGTGTGAAAACTACATCTCCACGTATATGTGAATGAAATTGAACTTATTTTTAATTTAACTCTTTCTTATGCTTACAAATGTACACAAGCAGTATCCACTCAGTAGGAATATGTTTTGAGTTTGAATATTAATTTTTTCCTGGGATAGTGCTAGAACTCAGGCACTCTGCCACTAGGCAGCAGCAGAGAATGGCCGTTCTCAGTCAACCACTTGGGGTACCCATAAATATTCAAGGCTCAACAGTGTGGTGGTGTTATACTGTTGTGTTCAGTAGGTTGAGTGTACCAAGGCATATTCTCCTTACACTGTTATATACTTACGTTGTGTTTGTAAGAAAGTAATCCAATAGCAAGAGGAGAAGTTTGCATGTGCATTCTTATCTGTCAATGATTTTGTTACGATAAACATATGTACTAACACATATAAACACACACACTTGCAAAGTCTTCCATTGTTAGGAGGTAAGATCATTGTACACTAATATCATTGCAGACATATTGTCCCCCAATTAAACAGCTGCCAAATATTTGTGATGACTGGGAAATATCAGTGATGTGTTGATGCAGGATCACTTCTTTACAAGGGGAGAATCCTTACTCACACACACTGACCCACGGCAGCTTTCTTTATAGCATCTCCTTTTCATTCACATGGTTCTCTGGATGCTGTTAGAAATATGACTTGAAACAATGTCTTCTCCAAACAGGAAATTGTTGCAGATGCATCAAGTATCAAGAATTCCAATTTCAAAACAAGTAGAAAAACTCGCTTCATTATTCATGGATTTACAAGTTCAGGAGAAAAGAGCTGGCTGTCTACTATATGCAAGGTGAGACATGGTAGTCTCTTGAGGGAAGGCTCCTTGAGGTGATAGTTACCAACCAGTAGTAAGATTCTAGTATCACAGAGGGAGCACACGTGTCAGTTGGCACATCACTAGAGGATTTCTGCCTCCTGCTGACAGGGAGATGCTGGTGAGTGAAGGGATCCTGGGACACAGTGTGCTGATGCTCACAGGACATGGAGCTCCGGAAGGACTATTTACTAATCAATACACCAAGGCTTGCAACTACTTCCATTGAACGACCATTCCACAATCCCAGCTGATCACAGGCCATGGTGCTTTTACTTACTTTGCATTTCCACGTGAAAAGTTAAACAATGCCATCTTCCTAATTTACTTGCTTCCCTCACATATTCACTTTCCAATTTCGGGTTCCCTCTGGGAGCAGTGCTAGGAAAGCTGTGACTATTTTGCATTTCTGGAATTTGTTTCAACCATGCAATCCTTTTTAGTTTCAATCTGTCTTTGCCTTTGTGCCCTGTAATAATGAAGAATTAAAACACAGATAATCCAATAGAATGAATTACCCTGGTAAGCACAAGCATTTGATATGCATAATGATTGTCTCATTTACTTATATGCTTATTGAAGTTCTGTGTCCAGCCAGGGCACAAAGCCGTTATCTCTTAAGAAGGGTCAGAAAAACACCCCAGTTTTCCCTCCAACCATTTAATTTTTGTCTTTGAGGCCACAAGACAAAGACTACACTGACTGAGCTCCATAGCATACCATGGGCCTGTGGACAGCTGAACACACAAGAGCCCCAAAGCTTCACAAGTTTAAAAATGATCAGTGAAACCATGACCAGTCTTCTGAGAGATTTAAGTCTGATGATTGTTGGGCAAGTTGATGGTGAAGGGAGTTGATTAAAGTAGAAAGCAAAAGCTCCTAGGCTCCTGTCTTACTCCTGTCCTTAGCTAGCCGTGGTGTTAGCAGAGTTTTTTTGAGAGCCACGGGTGTTAACAGTGCTCTGCCTGGTACTTGGTTGTACATGTCCATCTAAGAACATGCAAATTGAGCTCAGTTTGTTGCTTACGACAATCTCTTCATTCTTGTAGTTTTCCTTCTGTAAGATGAAAGTTTTAGATGATTTTTCATAGTGCTGTATTATTCTAAAATCCTTTCAGAAACAGTGGAAACATGAATAACTGCAAATTCTGACACACAGAAACCCTGCCAGCAATAGCCATTGTGAGATCGTTATTGACCAGCTTAAGCAAGGTTGCCAAAGATATTGGTATCTGTATTTCATGCATAATAATCTTTCTTGATATGTGATCTTTTATCATCAATGTGATTATGAACGCAAGCGAATCTAAAGCACTCTTGCCTTCACCCAGCTTCTGTTGATCAGGAACCTGCTAAATGCAAGGAGCTCTTCCAGGTGCTGAATTAGCTTGATAGTGTGCTTAGCCATGTTCTAGTAGGGGTCGATGTGACATCATGTATGTCATTTGTGTTACTATGATGAGAAAACCCATTATGTAACATTTTATGTTCCCTTTCCCTGTGACAAATGTCTGTACATTAGAAATCCCCAAAACTCTACTTCCTGCCATGGCCAAATGTCCTGTTTGGAGCCAATGTTAATCTTCAGGAGGCATTTCATAACCATTTACGGCCTATGAGTTTTGTCTGATTCTCTCAAGTTAAAAATAGTATATATTATGTGTCAGATTTGTCCATGAGTCATTGCTAAGGATCCGGAATGACTTACCTATTTATCGTGTCTTTTCTCTCAGAACTTGTTTAAGGTGGAGAGTGTGAACTGCATCTGTGTAGACTGGAAAGGGGGTGCCCAAGCCTCATATCCACAGGCTTCACTGAATACCCAGATAGTGGGAGCAGAAGTGGCATATTTTGTAAAAGTTCTTCAGGTAAGTACATCCAGGTTATGGCAAATCCCCCACCACTGCTTTTGGGGACTCTTCCCAAAAGGTTGTTGTAAGTCTGATCATTGATAAAAGCGTTTCCTAAATCAGATGTGAGTTTTGCTTTGGTTGAATAGAAAAATAAGAAGAAATGATGTGTTTGGTTTTTCAAAACCCTATAAAAATCAATAAGTAGGTTTATTTCCTTTCATTGAAAACACTTATACAGCCACATGAATAGTTCTTACAGGATTCCTCAAAAAATATACTAGTTAATACCAAATTGAAACAACGACATCAACCTGCATTTTAAACTTGTTTAGGATTCTTATTTACTTGTTTCGTGTTCTTTAAGAGGAGTGTACAATGAGAAGCTATCCTAATTGGTAACAAAATGACAAAATATTAAAAGTTAGAGATGGCTGTACTTCAGTAATTGTTTTAATGGTTTTGTAACTTGAGACCACTGACAATGTCCTTCAAAGCATGTGTCAACCTAGAATTACAACAAAACAATGTTTTGGATCTACCAGTATGAAACCCATTTGTGCTTTTGCCATATACAGAAAAAACATGAAAGTAAACTGCTTTATGTTTTCTTAAAACTGATGTGCTTGGAAGGAAGCATTTATGCCTAGCTTTGATTCTGTAATGCACCCAAACCTTCTGAAGATGTGTTCATTTTGGAGTGCAGAAGTAGATAATGGTTGCTTTCTAGATCTAGAAAGACCCCAGGTTAAAATATGGCAGGTAAACTTGTAATGACATTATTCAACTTTATTTTTCATTAATTAAACCACATTTTATTCACATAACCTCAAATAAAGCAAATGCAGGCAAAGAACTGGAAGTTTTATATAGCAGTATTAAGACAGGGAGCAGGGGGCACGGGCAGCAATAAGATATTTCAGGGATGTTCCAAGAAGATATAGTGAAATCTAGTGGATGGAATGGGTCTGTCAGTGTGTTTGCAGGCAAATACCCGTGGCCACAATGCTTGGCAGGGTGCCGCAGTTTTCCTTCCATGCTGGACCCATCAGGTACATTGCCTCATGTGTATTCAGGGCTTCGGATCCAAAAGGTATGTCCAAGAGACGCCTTTGAGAGTGATGAGGCTGGTTGCTTTTATTTTCCCACAGTCATCACTGGGATACTCACCTTCCAACGTCCATGTCATTGGTCACAGCTTGGGTGCCCATGCTGCTGGAGAGGCAGGACGGAGGAGCAGTGGGGCCATTGGACGAATCACAGGTAGGTCAAATTTTAGATATGTCTGCCTTGTGAGTCTGAAAAGAAATGCTGGGGGAGGGAAGTACAGTACTATTTCACCTTGTCACACTATGTATTGGGCTGCATAATCAAAAGTCAGACACAAGGAATCTTTTATAGACAAAGACCTTTGATTCACTATCACTATGCCAGTGTTAATTATAATTTAATCCCATGTGGCTAAAGACTAATTTAGTCATCTCCAGGGATTTTATATAAATTTAATACAAATTTTCCCATATTTAGTCATTTAGAAAGGGTAGCTTAAAGGAATAAATACCATAATGACAAAAATAGCTTAAACCCAAAAGCACAGGATTATGCAAGTAATGATATTTTGTTTCAGGAACAATAGCTAGTGAGCCCAAACACAAATAAGGATAATCTCAGAGCCCAGAATGTGTAGCTGTTGGTAACCAGTCTTGAAAATTATTATAAGCCTGTGAGTGAGTATCTACAAGCCGAGGTAAATCCATGACTGAGAGAAAGTCCAATCAGGCAGCAAACTAGAAGCAGATTTCCCTTCAGAGAAATGCAAGGGGTGCATGAGCTCATTTCTCTCCTTTCATGCACAGCTGATGAGTGCACCATTCTCGAGAGAGCTAGTGAAAACACATGGGTGTGTATGGATGTTGGGAGACCATGAGTCACACACACACATTCCTTCCCTCAGGCTTGGATCCAGCTGAGCCTTACTTTCAGGACACTAATGCTTTAGTCCGACTAGACCCAACAGATGCCAAATTTGTGGATGTCATTCACACAGATGCCTCTCCTTTCGTCCCCAACTTGGGTGAGTGCTGCAGTTTGTCCTACTATGTGTTGACATGGTTTACAATGCTTTCAGCCTGTCCAGTAACTTATACTGTCCCTATTGAAATTCTTCAGGATTTGGAATGAGCCAAAATGTGGGTCACCTAGATTTCTTTCCAAATGGAGGAAAAAGCATGCCTGAATGCAAATCGAGGCTTGCCACGGAGACTGTTGACCTAGAAGAGAAAGGTAAATCAGAAAGTATACAAGGAGATCGATCATCTTGGGGAAAGTTTCTGCTTCGTTTTGCTAAAGTTACTCGAGGCCTCTCATTGTAACCCAGGTGCGGGTCAGGGTTTTCACTGTGTAAAGCAGGCAATGAGAAGTGTGGTAGCAAATGTTTTAACACTCACTTTCCATGGACCTAATGCAGGAAAAACAGGACTAAATGACACTTGCTTGTACATGGACCAATCTTTATGTTGAAGTTATTCTTTCTCCATTTCACTTAACCATGGTGTTACATGTTATAATCTTAGGCCATGCTTAACTTCTGATTTTAACCTCAATTATGAATGCACTTCATAAATGATTTTGTCCTGGGACCCCCATGAGTCCACAGTAATTAGAACACTCTTTAACAAGGATATTTTCATCATGACTTCAATTCGGAAAAACGAACTCTGTCATTTACATATAATTATTTTTTTATTCCAAAGAGGCTCGTCTCTCTCTGACCTGTAACCACCAACAAAGTGTGGTGTACTACACGGAGAGCATCCTGGCCCCGACTGGCTTCACGGCATATCCTTGTGCCTCTTATGCTAACTTCACAGCCGTAAGTAGATTTCACCTTCCAGTGAAACAATTTTGTTATTTCTCTTATGGTAACTATTGCATTCCGCTCTTTCTTGCATCACTCGTTGCAGATATATATTTTAATATTAATAAGGCATGAGTAAGCTTTGGAGCAGGTGACGTGAGAGTAGAAATGTCAATTGTGCTTTGCTCTGTGTATTTTTCTACATTTGGATTAAGTGTTCCACTTGTGGTGCGAATACTTCTCACCAGTATTGAAAGCCCATATCTGTGATATTTGCTCCATAGGATGTTAGGAAGCATAGAACTTACTCTATGAATGCTGACTCTTCACCTGCACTGTGCACATACAAATGCTAATGTACAATCATGTCTTGTATCATCTTGATATCCATATTATTTTCTTACTTTCTGACCTTATGACCGACTCTTCAGTGTCAAAATTTTAAAAATAAGTTTTGTAACCTGTATCATAAAAGAAAGTTTCAAATAACAAATCTAGCTGGAAAGCTGCAATTTCCAAAAGAGTTTTATTAGTAAATAAAGGCAGAGCTTATGCATTTGGGTTTTTCCATTATGTTTCTAAGATTTATACAACAGTTTTACAATTCTAAGCAGTTTCTTCACCTATAAATACAAATAATAATGACAAACTAAACCTATTTGGCAAGAAGTCTAGATGAGATAGAATACGTAGATTTCTTAGCCTGCAGATGTCATAAATAAGTAGGATATTTCATCTAACAGCTCAGGACAGGGAATGGAAGAGTATAACTAAAAAAAAATGCAAAAACAAACAAACAAAAAAAAAAGAAAGGAGCTTTGGGTTTCATCCAGTTAAAATGGAGTTTGATTAAAAACAAAAATGTCAAGTCTGTACAAGCACTGCAGCATGTCCATGATACTATTGCCCCAGTCCTCCATGTTTCTCCTCCTTTCACCCCTCAGATGCTTTCTGACAGGTGACCACAGGGTATTCTGGTCAGTGTGTGCTCAGCAGCAGCAGTGATGTGGGCTCAATTAGGAGGGGCCGTGGGCTGCATTGCAATCTGGGCCACATCCCTGAGTGCATTGGTGATGCAGCCAGGCTGATGTTAGAGATGAGGTCTAGAACTCACCACACGTCAGGTGTGGGCAGTACCTTGAAGATGCTTGCCTGCTAATTCCGGGCCAGCACAGTTTGCCCTAATCCTTACTGGAAGCAGACCCTGAGACTCAGCCACATCCATCATCTGGCCCATGGAGTATGGAGCTGACTGCTTGGCTGTACTGCATAGTGGCCTTTCCACCCACAGGGGATGAATGGTCTGAGCAATTAGGATATCATAGGCCAATGAGAAAAGAGAAACACACACATCCATGTAAATTATATAAATTCTACTGTAGCATGTTGTATGATCAACAGAGAGACTGCTGATGTAGCCTGGTGCTTAGTCAGATGTGCTGTGATCCTTTGCCGAGACACTGTGGAAGCCCTCTTTCTGCACCACAACAGAATTGGACTCAGTGCTCATGAACCACGACAACACGTGTGGCAGGACAGGGCACTGTTGCACAGCAGCCTCACACGTGTGTGCTTGTTTTCACTAGAACAAGTGCAAAACCTGTCCCAGTGGAGGCTGCCCGCAGATGGGACATTACGCTGACAAATTTTCTGGGAAAACAAGTGCAGTGAATCAGGTGTTTTATCTGAAGACTGCTTAAAGGAAGTTGGAAGGTAAGAGGGTATTTTATTTACGTTGAACTTGAAGTGCCATGCATTTCCTGCTGCCTACTGATCATGTGTGAATTGGCCTTTCATCACAAAGCTTACAGAACTTGCTGCAGTGTGGACAGGACTCAGTGATGTGGGTAACTAACGACCAAGTAACAAGGAGCATTTGGAACCTGAAACTCTGAATGATACCAATGTTTCCAGTGGTTTCTCTGCTTCCCATGTCCTTGCTTGGGTGGCCAGTTGGCCGGTTGGTTGTGTTTCCTCTTTAGGAGAAGTTCTGAAAGGTTAAGCAACTTCATTGATATATTGTTAGACAAGTGTAGGGCTCGGTGATGGAAACCAAACCCTAGAGGAGAGTCTGGCTTCACCACACTGGAGTGAGAAGAATGTTTCAGTCTGCACATACACTTTGTGTAATGTGCTGATGTAAGACATGCATCTTCCACAAATTATATTGTTAGAGTCCAGGCTAAAGCCCCCCAGATGATACTGTGCGAGCTAGTCAGCCCCCAGAGAAAGACAAAGAGTCTCACTGGTCATGCAAACAGCAAACAGAATTTATTGCACAAGCATGCTGGGGTCAGACCGCACTTGGGGCACACAGAACAGCCAAGGGGGGCCGTCGGAACCCAAACACCCCAACAGAAGATTATATAGCCCCTTTTGGGCTGGGAAATACATCAAAAGTAACAACTGTAGACATATACATTTTTATCACCTTCAGGCACAGGCAGCCTGTTCTGTTCCCATACCCATTATCTATACTGCTCATCCCATTCTCACACCTTTGTCTTCCTCCATTCCTGGGACACGAGAAGAATTGTGCCCTTGCCCTCCTGTACCTGGGTTCACAAAGTTGCAGGACAGCAAAGAACAGATTTATCACTAAAGCAGAATCCTCCCAAGCTCCAAGCGCCTCCTGTCCTAGCAAAGTAGCAGTTTTCTCTACACAAAGGAAACTCACACTGCACAACAATAGCATTTTACCCACACTCTAACAATATGTTCTCACCCAATCCACAGGTAAGCTAGTTGGAACACGTTTAACCTATCACGGTACAGAAACAGGCTGTGCTGAATTATGTGTTCCTTAGCAAAGACAAAGGTACAGAAGATCAGTTTTTCATTCTAGGTAAGACTGGGAATGTAAGACTAAAAAGGTTTACCTTGGGAAGCTAGTAGGAAAAGTCATCCAATGAAAGCACAATAATAATACCAACATTGGCACCAAAGTTTTATAGAAAGCCTGGTACAGAATGCTATGTTTCTTCTATCAGCAAGACATTCTCTGCTCATTGGAATCCAATAAGAGGACTTTCGTTTCTGCCTTTCTGGAATCGCAGAGATTACAAAAACAGCAAAATCTTCAGACAGATCAGGTGAAACAACAGGCTTCAAGACAGTGAACATCAAGCAGCAAAAGAGAGAGATGCCTGAGCAGCAACTCCCCATCACACAGGGCTGAAAAGATCCCCCAGCTGACTGGCTTGCAGGTGGCATAAGAGGTGGCATCAGCAGAGAACTCCAGGCAGAGCCAGCAGTCTGAGTCAAGTATCAGAAGATCGAATGGCAACTGGAACTTCTTGGGCAACCTCCTAGTGAGGAGAGGGGTACTGATCTGGAAAGCACTTAGATGCACAGGGGAGCAATGACCGGCACAGGTGTGTGAGCAAGCAAGGCCAGGGAAATAGGCATTCTGAAGGAATAAGGTCCTCAGGACAAAAGCCAGATACTGAAGACAAATGCAAAATACATGCAAAAGCAATAAGATGTATGAACAATACTTCTCAATGAAAATGGAGAAAATGCGAGAATTAGAATCTGAGATTATGTTACTGAGTTTTTACAGAGCAGTCATTCAGTTTTGTTCAGTATAATGATTTAGACACCCAGGAGCCCATATCCTAGTGCCTGGGTGTCACACCCACCTCCATTCCCAACTCTTCTCCCTTGCCTGACTCTCAGATATTTAGCAAATGAACCAGCAAATGGGAACTCTCTCTATCGCCATCACTCTCACCTCTCCCACTCCTGCTCTTTCTCTTCTTCTCAAATGACTATTTCCAAACAAGAACCAATGTTTGGTGTGGTAGTTAAGACACCCGTTAGGAAGCATGTGTCCCTTATCAGACTGCCAGGTTTGGATCTCCACATGTGGCTGCTGATTCTAGTATCAGGTAACAGTGCTTGGAGGCACTTATGATGCTTGAGGAAGTTGGGTCCTTACCAGCCCTAGAGGAGACGTGGATTGCATTCCCAGCTCATCATCGGCGCTAGTCCAGCCCCAGCTGTTGCAGGGGTTCGGGACGTGAATCAACACAGTGGAATGCACACGTTCTCTCTTTCTCTCCTGCTCTTGCTCTCACTCTCTTGTTTCCCTCCATCCAAGATAAATAAATGTGAAAATCAATCCATGAAAGTCCCCATGAAACACACACTTTAATATGAAATCACAAACTGTATCTCACCACGTGAAAGTTGTATAATATAGGGAGGAACACATTAGTTATCCATACTTCAAATGTAAACACAGTAAGATACCGCTAGAAACTTATTCAAATGGCTAAAATTTAAAATGTACTATTGCCAAACATTCAAGAACATGGGGAAACTTGAGATCTTGTCTGTTTCCAGTAATACTATGACATGATGTAACCACTTCAGTCATGAGTCTTAGAGGGTTGTAAAATGTTACACAGCCTTGCCTATGAAACATCCATCCCAAACCAAAACCTGCTAGTCTCCCAGTATCCATCATCAAACTGAACACATCAAGTTGGGGTTGCATTGACAGCTCCTCTCTGCCATTTGCACAGCTGTAAAACAAGATTTGGAGAAGAATCCAGTCCTCCGTGCAGAAGAAACTTGCCTCAGTGCCAGTCTCAAGTGCAGTGGGTATCCCTTGCCTAGGCCAAAGGGAGAACAGAGGATGTCTCCGTGCTCAGGTCACCTGTGTGCTGGTGTTGTCAGAGGTGACTGTTGCTTTCTTCCCACAGGTTAAATTTCTGCAGCTCAAGCACTGTAGAGGAGAATGTTCTGCTTGCTCTCAATGCATGTTAGGAGACGACGGACAAGTGACCTCTGATACTGCTCCTAATAAAACTTACTGCTCAAGCAATCGTTTCTGTCTTTTATCATAAGTGTTTGTGATTTTCAGTAACATATATTGGAGAAGGTGATAAAAAAATCCAGAATTATAGCTGATGTGAAGAACCACAAAGGATAGATGGATTTTGCCAGCAGTTGGATGACAGTTGCATTTGGGACCCTTGCTGACATGACGCTGTCACATCCATGATCACAAATGGAGTCATTGTGATCACTTAAGGCAGAACCGAAGGGCCCCAGTGACCCTTGTTTGTAGACCCTGATGGGATGTTCAACATTGACCACAGATGCCATTGTCCTTAGGCTCAGTCCTTTCCTGCTTCAACATCTCAGGAGAGAGGACACTTAGGAGATTAGGACTGACATGGCCTGTGCTTCCTGACAAGAACTTACAGGGAGTTCCTTATACCTTGTTCAGCTGAAGCTAAGGAGTGCAGAGACAAGACATGGGCACAGGTTTCCAAGAGCTCATGCTCCTAGAGATGGAGGGAGGTCTACAAATAACATCTTGTGGTGCATCTCCTGTTTTGGTGTGCCAGATAGCACAGTAGGCTTTGCTGTGTCTTGCCACTGCTGTAGATGGCAAAGCCTGAACCCTTGTGAGTGTAATGGGAGCCAAGTTTGAAACTTTGTGAAGGAATTTATTTTCCTGCCAATTTCCCTTCACATGAATTTTGTTTTTGTTGTGTGTGTTGTGTTGTGTGTGTGTGTGTGTGTTTGTGTGTAGTAAGAGAGAGAGTGATAAAATGAATGCTGGGAGACATTAAGTTGAATTTTTCCAATGTTAAGGCGTTAAGAAAATGAAAAACAGTATTTTCTTTCTGCTTTCACAATAGCAAAAGACAAAATACAACAAATTTGAAAAGATTTTTGAATTATTATCAATTTATAAGAATAGAAGGCATCAGATTTTATGGAGTAGAGTACTGCAAGAAAGAAGGTGCATTTTGATGAAGTAAACATATTTTGATTTTATGCATGTAAAAAGGTGACAGCAGAGAACAGAGATAAGGTGCCTGAGGTCATATCAAAATCAATCATGTCGCATGTATAGTTACAACAAATACATGGGCCTGGCACCCTTGCAAATGCTGGGATAATGTATGAGCAACGGTTTGTGTACCTGCTGCTCTACTTCGCTTCCAGCTCCCTGCCTATGGCCTCAGAAAGCACTAGATGATTCTCAAAATTCATGGGAAACTGCACTCACTTGGGAGTCCAAGATGAAGGTATATTCTGATTTCAGATCAGCACAGTTTCAGCCATTGTGGGTACTTGGGGAGTGAATCAGTGAACAGAAGATCTTTCCCCCTGACTCTCTTTCTCCCTGTAAATCTGCCTTTCCAATAAAAATAACCTTTTTAATTGATAAAGGACATTTCTTTATTATGTTGACATTGTTCAATTAGAATCTCACTTAAAAACCAACTGGCCTCTTTAATACTCCATTTGGTTACCTGACACTTAGCCAGGGTGACTCCTTCCTGCTTGGCACTGGTGTGCTGGGGCCTGCTGCACACCACCAGTCCAGGAGAAGACACTCCACAGAATGTGCTTCATAGTTGTGAGAAACACACACAAGTTGCTTTGAACTAGATCACCTCAAAACTGCCATGCGGCATATTGGTCATGTTTCAAGGGTATCTGCTAGACCTTGTTGAAATGTTGTCCTCAGTCTAGTAATATTTGCAGCCATTATAAGCAAGATGGCTTTCTTCATTCTTTTTCTCATGCAGTTCACTCTTAGCATATAGCAATACTACTGAGTATTTATCCTGCCAGTTTGTACGATTCGTTCTTCGGTGTAGGTTATTGTGATAGAATCATTAGGGCTTTCTCTACAGAAGACCATGTTTCTTGCAAACAGGACCCATTTGAC